GAGCCTGACAAGCCCATGGATAGAAGCTGTTCTTCAGTCTGTTGGTATGGCTGGCTATATTTCTATATCTCCTACCCGATGGTAGGAGAGTAAAAAGGTACCAACCAGGGTGTGAGTCATCCCTGAGAATTTTCCTCATGCTACCTTACAGGGTTGTTACCTGTAACCTGAAGGGCAATAGGACATATATTGAGCATTTTTGATTGAATCAAAATTAAAACATTTTAATAACATAATTTGAATGCTGTCTTCTGTTTTGAACTGAACAAAGGAAGGAAATTAACAGTTTTACCCCTGGAAAAGAGGATAATGTATTTCATTTGGCAAAATAAATATTTGATTTGCCTGTTGATATAAAGTTAACTGAGCCTTCAGAAGAATTATCTGTAAATGTAATGGTTCAAGAGAAAGCCTCTTGAATTAAATCATTCAGAAGCAAAATATCTTAAAAGAGATATTATCACTGGATTCCCATTCAGGGGGAACCCGCTTTACAATACTTGAAGTGTGATACTGAACAGGATTGGGGGCCACTGGGAGGCTTGTTAGTTGTAATTAAGAATTACTGTAGTACTGTCATTTCTTTCTTATCCCAATTTATTTTTCCTTTTAGATCTTAAGTGTGAAGTCGGGCTAGCTATTTATTTAAGAAGTTTTGGAAGGGGTTTGTTGGCTAAAGAGAGAATGGTGATGGCAACCTACAAGCCCTTTCACAGAAATTGTAGGCTGGGGGGGAAGGTTGTACATAATTGTTACCTCTCAGAAGGCTATTCATATTCAATTAATATGACTGGCCTTTGTAATTAAAAACAAGCCAACTATTTATAGCAATTTTTAAGAATATAATATTGTTTTAGGCAAATGAAAATGAGACCAGGGGAGGTCCTAATTGATTGTTTGGAGCCTATTGAAGATACTAAAGGAAACAATGGAGAGAAAGGTAACAGAGTTTTTAAAAGTTGATTAAATTTGTCCCACAAACATTTCAAAGAAAGAAAACTTTTTCCAGTTGGTTGATTTTGAACATATGCAATATAAAATTGGTCATTTAGAATAGAATGTGAAAGAATGAGTGCTTATTTTTCTGTCTTTTCAGATATTTCATCTCCTAAAACTCCTTTTTCGTGTTTGCATTAATGATAATCTCTTTTAATTAACAAATATATACTTCTGCCAAATTAAGGTATCCCCCCCATGGATGTAGATGAATTTTATTTTGCTTGTGAATTTTGTGATTCACAGTTATCTGAATTTATTACAGAGAGTATCATTGTACAACACTGATTTGATTGGCACAATTATCTTTATTTGTTAAAGTATTTATATCCCACTGTTACGTCCCTTTTCCCCCATGCTATTTGCTATTGGGGCTTTTTTCCCTCTCTTCTCAAATCTACAAAACATCTGGTTCCTGAAATCTTTCGCCTTACCCTCTAATGTTTGCTTCCTTCGTTTATTTCCCCCATAAATACTTACATAAGATTGTTTGCTTCTAAGGATGACATCGGTGATGTTGGTATTTATTTATCTTGTTCTATAACTGTATTGTATTCTTTTAAATCCTATATACTGAGAGCAAACTCATTCCCTCAGTGTGGAGGCTTATTTGGTCAGTATTGCATTATCTACACTATTTGTAACTACAGGAGACCCTCAGTTTGCAGAAGTAAGAAAAACTTTAACACTCTAACAGGACAGAAGGATGCTAGAGGACAGATTGGCCAAAGTGTTGAAGATTCAGTGTTAACCTCCACATTGGGGCAACATGCTTCCAAAAAGCAGTTGTAGTACAGAGACTAAAGGGGGAGGGTACGTCCCATTTTCTATTTGCAAGTATCCCAGAGCATCTGGCTGTTCATTGTGAGAAACAAAATGCTTGCCTAAGATGGGCTTGACCTGATCCAACAGGCCTGTGCATGCCACAGCTGCAGTCTATTATTAAACTGGGAACATGCTGGTGAATCCTTTCTGTAAGAGTGTAGTTCATTTTCTAATAGTCATCTTATAGTGGCCTATTGTGATTACTTCCAGTTGGAATAAGTTAAAAAAGAGAAACAATGACTAAGTTTATCAACTGGATTTCTCTGGATTGTTTGGTCAGAAATCATTGCTGCTGTTAGAAGAAAGTCTTCATCCTGGTTCATCCAAGCCGGGAATAAATAAGCAAACATGGCAACTGCTTTGGGAAGAAGGTTACAGTTTATTGCAGAAGACAGATGGTCTTGCAAGAAGCAGCAGAGGAGAGGAAAGAGAGTGAGCACATGGGCAGGAGGTCTTTTTATACTCCCCTCCCAGCCCTGCTTGGGATAGTTT